TCCACAAGTCTTAAAGTTGCCAAGGTTGGACACCCCTGCCTTAGAGGCTTCGTTTTCAAAATAAAGTTACAACAGAGGAAAGCATCACTGAAGATGGGACAAACATCCAGAAACTTCAGGGGTGTGTGTGTGTGTGTGTGTGTGTCTGCTATCTTTAAAAAAAAATCTAGCGAGGTCACAGCAAGCATGGTCTTAAGCATTATTCCCTCTTCTGAGAGAAGGAAATACATCTTTTCCGCTGTCATCGCTGTACTTTTTGTTTCAAGTCTGCATCCTTAAATAATTAACTTTTTTTGGGGAAAAATCTGCTTCCCATCTATTGGTGACATACCTTTAAATGAAGCAAAGATGTTTTATTTACTGCATTAGGCTAGGCCAGGGGTTTCCAAACATGGCAACTTTTAAGATTTGTGAACTTCAACTCAAGAATTCCATTTTGGCTGAGGAATTCTGGGAGACGAAGTCTTAAAAGTGACCAAGTTTGGAGATCCCTGGCCTAGACAATAAAACAATCTAATATTGCAGCGTTCTCATGGTGCAAAGTAATCAGGGGGCCACGTAGTCATTGCATGGATTCATCCATTGGCTGGATTAAACTGATCCGCCAATTTTCTCTCTCACAGTGACTGTTGTTGTTTTTTTTCTCACAAGGATGAATTTCTACAAAGAGTGATCCTTACTTGCTCTCAGCAACAATTCCAGGCAAACAGCACAAGTTCACTCATGCCAGAATTAATCAACTTGGGAGTTGGGTCACCAGCAGGTGGAAAATGGCCAATAGATCCAAATAAACAGAATAAAGTGAGATCATCAGCCACTCTTCCTCCATAGTGACACTGGATCTATAATAGGCTCCAATGTGACTGATTTAATAATGTATGAATTCGAGGAACAGAAGATAGTAACCAAGAAACAAATAGGTCTTGCAGTGAAATCTTTCTGATCATTCACCCGTTCAAATTCATTTGAAGTCACACATCATGAAATCAGCACTTAACATCTTCATAATTAATTGATCCTTAAGGTTCCCTGGTCCACACAAGACTTTTTCACAAATTCCATTTTTGTTTTGTTGGGTTTCTCCTAATTAAGTATAACCAGATTACTTTATTTAATTATTTTGGCACAAAGATGCACTTGCCAAGAACCCACCAGATGTTACTGAGCAGCAAAAATTAAAGACTGAAGACGAATAGTAGAGAACAGTGTCTCTCAAACTTCACAACTTTAAGCTGTGTTGACCAACTGCCAGATTTCTGGAAGCTGAAGTCTATGCAGCTTAAAATCGCTGAGTTTGAGAAACGCTGGTATAGAAGCCCATCAAGTGTGATACACCCCAATTATATTAAGAAAAGATGTGGTTCACTTTTAACACTGGTGGGTTTAAAGGAGGAAATTGGAAAGAAACCTTTTTTTTGGGGGGGGGGGATGATATTGGGACGAAATGCAAAGTGAAATGAATGCATGATGAAGTGATGATTCTAAATTATTTATCTATTTTTTTTAAAAGAAATTTTCAGGGGAAGCAGAAAAGAACTTCAATAATACTCTTTTAGGAAAATCTCACGGCAGCGCCCACATGAAAAGTTATACTAACTAAAAAAGACAAGTTGAGCAACAGGGTTTAGAAATATCAAAGAGTGCATTCTGCACATCAAAAGAGATATAACATAGAAACCAGTTAATAAATTGACATCAATTTAACAGCAGTTAAGGGAAAGGAGAACAATGGCAGTGTCATGTCACTTCAAATATATATCCACCCTTTCCATGCCCCTTGTGTGTTTTGCAATAAATATCCAATTGTTGATAGAAGTTAATTTCTCGCATGTGCATGTTTTGAACAGTTGTCTCTAAAGTGCGAGAAGCCAAGGGACACTCCTTAGCCGTATAAATTTATCATGGGCTCCAAGTCAGTCATAGGGAGTGAGTAAGGCAAGCAGAGGAATGGGGGATGGGTAGGAAGCATGGTATGATTAATGGAAATCAAGGAGAGTCCTCTTATCCTTTGGCACTTCAAAGACTGAAGTGAAAATTCTGTGGAAACAGCAGCAGCAGCAGCTTCTTCTTTTTTTCATCCTTCGAGTTATTGAACCTGATGGTCAAAATCAGATGTACACAGGTGATCAGGGATTGCTGTCTCTCCATGGTTACCCTCAGGGAAAATCAGATGTCCATCTCAAACTGAGCATCGTCACCTGATTGAAAGACAAGAACACATGCAAATCAACAGAAAAATTGTTAGGGGGAGAAACCTTGTTTTTTAAGTCTCCTAAGAGGACAGTGAATTCTTACTTTCAATGGCATTGGAGCCAGATCTCACGGACACATATAGGTGGCCAAGATAGCAGAACAGGCAAAACCATAGAAAATGCAGGTGGGATATGCCATTTTAACCTAGCTAAAAGGTTATCACAATCATTGGCTTAAAAAATACCAAAGAAAGAATCTGCCCAGCATGTTTGGTGAGATATACCAATGCTTAAGTACTCGAGGATGTATTTTGCTTATGCTTGATCTGTTTAATTTAAATGCTCCTTTATAAGAGGAGTTGACTCTTGCAATCAGTACCTTTGCTTCCTTCTGCTGCATGAGGATGTAAGCAAAATGGACAATGTGTTTTGATCTAAAACAGAGGTGTCAAATTCAATTTCATTGAGGGCTGCATCAGGGCTGTGTTTGACCTTGGGGGGGGGGGCATCCCGCCGTGGCTGACTGGGCAGGTGTGGCCAGCTTTACACCACTCCCCAAACTGCTGGCAAGTTTCCTCTTTGCATTGGGTAGACCGGGCCGAAGCCACACTGGCCCGATGTTTCCTCTTCACATTGGCTACACTGGGCCGAAGCCATGCGGGCCGGCCCCTTACATTTTCCAGGATGGTCCTGTGGGCTGGATCTGATCACATCGCAGGCCAGATCCGGCCCACGGGCCTTGTTTGATACCTCTGATTTAAAGCAAAAGAAAAGAAAAGGAAAAAAAAAAAAAAGGGGGGGGGGGGGGGGGGGGGAAAGAAAGAAACAAACAAAATCCAGCACATTTTAGAAGTTCTGCTGAAATGCTTTCAATCCACAATGGTTAAGGAGAAACAAAACTCAAAACTTTTTGGTTGTTCCAGCTTCTGATTAAAAAAAAAAAAAAGCATCGGTGAGTGATTTAATGAGATTTATGCATCCTGGTGCATAACTTTCCCTCTCTCCATTCCTTCTCTATGTGATCTGCATGCCCGTTTTTTCCTGCAATGGTTTCATGCTCTGCCAACTCTCCTATCCACTGATCTTTCTAATTCCTTCGCTTCAGCTGATGATGTTGAAGTGGGATCTCTTCATAGCATGTATTTACCCGATGGTAAAATAGGCAGTCAATACATTTACTCGATAAAAAAATAATAATAATACAATGAAATAATGATTCCTGACATGACAACTGTGCAAAGAGCCAGCGTTCCCTTTCCTAGCTTTCCTCATTCCATTAGCTTCTTAGACACACTATATTGCCAAGAAAACACACTAACTTTGATTTTTTCAAGATCATCTTCTGCTGCATTATAGAATCACTAATTTTGGGTGCATATCCAAAATAAAACTGCCCCATTTCATTCTGTATATGGGCCAATATATCCACAAGACATTCCACTTTGGGCGTGGAGCCAAAACCCAACGCCGTATGAACTTGACCTGATCATGGTAAAGTTCATGCATGGAATGTTTGAGACATTTCTTGCCTCCAACATTTTTTTAGTGTAAATTCAAGTTTTAGCTTGTGTTTTACATCTGGCCTTCCCTCCTTTACTTCTAAACAGTTTGTTGTTGCTTTGTTATACACTAGTCTTTGACTGAAATAAACTTTGAACTTGAAATACAAGATGGTTCTTTTGGAGACCAGCTAGATAAAAGAAAAAAAATGTGTAGATTGTTATTAGCCTCACTTATCTAATTTTTTTGTTCCAATTCCTATTTACCAATAAAGGAGAATATTTGTAGCTCAATGTTGAAAAGAAGAGTCCTTGCTTGTTTTCTCGTTTCATAACCCAAATTGGTAACACCATCGGTGGTAGATGATGTTACCTAGTTTGGGTAATGAAACACCTGCAAGAATAAAACCAAGCTCAGAGAGCACCCAGGACCCCTCAATTCTTATAGCCTATAGTAAAGTTTCAGCTACTTCCTCAAGTCCATCTCACAAATGATATAGCAAAAATTGTGCACTTTACCTCCACTTGAACTACTTTATACCATTTTGAAAAGGTAAACATCTTTCAATAATTCATAGCTATTGACTTGCTATGACATAGAAGGCAAAAGGGCAATAATTCACCATTCAGTTCCTACTCCATACAATTGTTGCAACAGTTCACTGTTCTCTACAAGCAAAAGCTCTCTAAACACATTAGAGAGAGAGAGAGAGAAAAAAAAAATCTGCAGACAGGAAATAAATTACTTGATCCCAAGGTAAAACTCATATTTGAACAACATCACAGGGCAGGAAATAGAATAGCTCTGTATCACTTCCCATTCTGGCTCTAAAGAACAAGGATATCAGTATGTTTTTCCCCCCAGTAAAATCTCTTTGTTCTTCGGGATAAGTGGTAAGTGGTCAACTGACATTACATTACAGCCACACTTGCGACCAGAATTCCCTCTCCAAGGAGGTGAAGTGAGTTGCAACCCTATTTCACAACCTTTTTTGCCACAATTGTGAAGAGAATAACTGCAATTGTTAAGTGAATCACATGGTCACTAAGCGAATGCAGTTTTCCCCACTGACTCTGCTTGTTGAAACTCAACCGGAAAAGGAACAAATGATGATCACATAACCCTGGGACATTTTGCAACAGTCGTAAACACATGCTGGTAGCCAAGCACCCAATTCTTTTTTTAAAAAAAGTTTTTACCAAGCACCCAATTCTGAACATGTGACTATGGGGCTCCTGCGATGGATGTAAGTGGGAAGATTGGTAATAAGTCACTTTTTTCAGTGCTGTGGTAAACAAATGGTTGTGAATCAAGGACTACCTGTGGCAGAGAGATGGATCGAGACCGTCAATTGCAAGAAGGTATTTGGCATGGATGCTGACGCTGCACTTTGCTTCTGCTATAATGCAAAGGTTCTTACCAATTATAGGCTTCCCATCATGATTGTTCAGGTTGTTTACTTCCACTTTGGAATCTTCTGTCACAGAACCAGGACTGGTAACTCCAGGGATATTGGGAAGGTGGCAAGGAGGGGTTTGAGCCATGGGAGAATTGCGCCGATCTAACAGAAACTTGCGGTCGTAGATGATTCTGGTACCTAGAAAGGTGGAAAAGGAACAAAAGTAACTGGCATATCAGATCCACTATGCTGAAAAAAAAGGGGGGGGGGAGTTTATGGAGACCTTGGTGCTCTCCAAGCTTGGTTGTTTGCTTGCAGATATTATATTATCCAACTAGATAATATTATAATCAGTGTCCCAAACACCAAGGACTCCTTAGTTCAACCCTGAGCTATATATACGTTCTTCTATTAAAATCAGAAGTTCGGCAGCACTGTTTCTGATTAACTATTTTTTAAATGAAATTTTTATTTAAGTGTTGTTTTCTTCAGGCACAGGTGTTAATTGTTTTGCTCAAACTCCTTATCTATAAAGAAAGGTTGTAGCTCTAAACAAGTTCTACATTCCACTGAATGCACTTTAGTTTATATCCAAAGTAAGAAAGCAAAAGAGCCAGTTTTGGTCTAGTAAATAATGTGCTAGACTAGTAGAATGCAAGTCAAGTTTTAGTCCTGCCATTGGCACGGAAGCTAGCTGGATGACTTTGGGCCTCTCGTGCTCTCTCAACCCTAGGAAGAAGGCAAACCATTTTAGTTGTCTAGAAGTTGGATTCAATGGCACTAATTAAAGTATGTTTAGTATAAAACCCAAACTTTAAGTGAAGTTTAGAAACTTCCCCATTTTGCAACAAGGATGACTCTTGACTCCTCAACCCCGCACCCTATATCCTAAGCTTCTCCAAGCAGTTGTCTCCCATGTTTGGTTGTACTTCAACAGGTTAGGGAAGGCTACATTACCCTTAAAACAAAATAAAGTATCTTCAAGAAAATGAAATCGGTCTTTTCTGTTTATTCCAAAGCTGACAATGCCAGCTATTGATCAAGAGCCAAATCTGAACCATTGATAGTTAATACATGAGGCTTTGCTAATTCACCCACAAGCCCAAACACTGAAGCCTTTTCATACATTGGTACAGAAATCTCGAATGAGTCAAAAAACGAAGAAAATGAATCGTGGTTTGCTATTCAACAGAAAACCTTCACCACTCATGCCCTACTTGGAAAACAGAGGTATAACATGGAGCCATTTCATATTGGCCTCTTAGCTGGCAGCATTATTCACTGACCAGAATGTCAGTACTTGGTTTAATGACTGGCTTGATAGCCAACATTTCTTGAAGATATGTTTAAAGTGATACATCCTAGGAAACCATCCCAGAGCTGTTCAAATCCCATTTTTATTTGAATCCGCTTTCCTTGCTAAGTGGGATAATTGTTCCTTTCTTGGGTCTTCTTAATGCTTGCCTTGTCTTCTGTTGGGGCCTTCCTTTGCTAGCAAAGTCCCCCTCTCCATTGCCCCACTCTCCAAATTCCTTGGTTGGCTCTCCCCGACCGATCTATGAAACATTCAGTGCCACGGCTGCCTTGCCTACAAATTACTGCTGAAGGATGCAGAAAATGATGGGGGAGCAGTTGAGTCTGAGACACCCTCCCCCCACTGGAGATAACAGGGACTTTAATATTACTGGTAATCCCTGATTTAGAGTTTGCCCCATTTATGACCTTTCTTGCTACAGTTGTTAAGTGAATCACTGCATCTGTTAAGTTAGTAACACAGTTAAGTGGGTGTGGCCTCCCCATTGGCTTTCTTATCAAAAGGCCGCCACAGGTGATCGATCACATGACCCCGGGACACTGCAACTGTCATAAATGAGTTGATTACCAAGCATTTGAATTTTGACCACATGACCATGGGAATGCTGTAATGCTCACAAGGGTGAAAAATGGTCGTTAATTCACTTTTTTCAGTGCTATTGTAACTTGGAACAGCCACTAAATGAACTGTTGTATACTTCGCTGAAGAGTGTCACATGGTTTTACAGCAAGGAGTGATTTCCTTTCACAGATGGAAGCATGCCTCTGGGAAGGCTCCTCTTTCATAATCTCTTTGCAAGCTTCCAGATGGCATCTAACATACATCTGTGGGTGTGGGTTTAGTCAAACCTTTAATCTCACCCAGCAGGGCATGTTTTCATCCAGTGTCAGTACAATGGTGCCCACCAGATGTTTTAGACAGAATGGTAAGCAATTACAGGAACTGTAATTGAAAATATCTAGATGTTAGTAAACTGTGTACCCCCTTTCTGAGAGTTGGCGTTCAAGCAGAAAATAAGCCGCCTCCTGCATCTTTACCGACTTAATTTAATCTTTTGAATCTATGTGGAATCAATTTCTCCAAAATGATTGGCACTGATTGGTCTATACTATTATCTATTATCAAAGGGCTTAAATGCACTATTCCTTTGTGCTTCGCGTTGAAAATAAATCACAATCTCATTTCCTTCCACACTAAAAACTCATCTGAACAGCATCACCAATTTTTTAAATAAGACAATAGCAACACTACCTAGCTTTAATCAAAGTTAAACTTAATTTAATCAATCTAATTGACGAAGAGAAAAAGTGTGAACGGAAAAAAGGAGAAAGTCTATGCGGAATTGATTTCTCAGAAGAAACTTGTAAGAAAAGAAAAACTTTACAGTACAAATAAAATAAAGCAGACATGGGATAGGCTGATCCACAATGGATCCTACTGCATATCTGAGAGCTTCCACTTCCCTTTTTCATCACATTGCTCAATTCTGTTTGCCATTTTTTTTGCAAGTGCACATTTCGGCCTCCATTTTCTTTACATAGGTATCAAGGGAACTTATGTAACATCAGTGCTACAAGTAACCAAATGTAGTGGATTTTACCGTAACCTAAATGCCCTTTGTGGGCCAAGGATAGCTATGAAACAGATTTTTCCCTTGTGTTCCATCATACCCCTATGTCAACTGAGTGTGACATCTATTCAGCACCATCTGTGCATTCCTAGGACGCATAAATAACGCAGGAATCGAACCTCCCAAGCTTGTAAACAGCCTTGTCAACAACTCCCCACTAAGACCACTGCTGAAAGAAGGAAGGTCCGTTTGTGTTTGTTCCCCTTTTTTCAAGGAATAAAAATGTGGAATGGTCAGTGTTAAATAATGCAGTCTAGAAAAAGAGTAAAATGCCATTTTTTTCAGTCCCGTTTGAAAGAATAAACTTCATATCAAACTCTAAAATGGAGAAAACATTGATACTTCAGCTTAAAAGTGGAGCCACAGAGGTATCTATCTTAGAAGCCATCACCTGAGCCCCCATGGTTATTTTAAAGAGAAAAAAAACAGGAGGCAGAAGAATTATGTACATCTCCTTCAGCTGCAGAAGTTAAAGGATGTAAAATATGTAATTCTATACTTATACGACTTCAAACTTGACAGCTTTAAGACTTGTGGACTTCAACTCCCAGGATTCCTTCGCCAGTCATGATAGCTCAAGAATTCTGGGAGTTGAAGTCCACAAGACTTAAACTTGCCAAGTTTGAAGACTCTTGGATAACATACTCAAGCCTTTTTCATTCACATTCCAATTCTACCCCAAAGTGCTGCTACAAGAGGGAATAAAACCACAATTCTACAAATGTGAGCCCACTGTGATGTAGAGGTTAAGGTACTGGACTGGTAATAGAACATGTGAATTCTAGTTCATCTTCACCTGGGATCTTTCTGGATAATTATGGAACACTGAGTTAGTGTTGTGGTTTGCCGGCAGCAGGTGCAGACAGCTGAGGTCTCTGAGAGCGAGGACTTGGATGAGGGACTGCGTGTGATGCAGGGATGGGGCCAGGACTATCGGAGAGTGGGGTGCTGCCTTCGGAGCTTTTGGAGTCTGGCAGCAGTGACGCAGAGGACCCCAAGGAGCCTGTGCCCAGTGCGCGTAGGGCTGCTCGCAGGAAAGAGCAGCTGCAGCTGGGTGACTCGGGAGTAAGGCTGGAAGGTGATGAACCCTCCCATAAGGGATAAAAGGCAGCCCTCAGAGGTTGGGTTCTTTGCAGGAAGCAAGTTCTTTCAACTCCAAGTTCTTGTGGAATTCTATCCTATTTTGGTTTGTTTTCAGAGACTTTTGGTTTTGGATATTTCCCTGCAATTAATCTTGTGTTCTTAGCAGCCTATCACAACCTTGAAAGGGCTTGCTCTTACCTGGGACAATTAGTTTTAATGACTCTTTGCTGTGAATGAACAGAATTCCCAGAGACGCATTAAAAAGGTTTGCTTTTATATATATTTTGTGTTTCTTCGATTTGAATGAGGCTTGGGTCGGAACAGTTCAATTCCTTTTCACCTCAGTGACATATTTGACATACCTATATCTTTCTTGGAAAGTAGTGTATTTTGAAACTGCCTCTAAATTTCCCAGTTTTGTCTGTAGCCCTGGAATTTCCTTGAGGTCTTCTACCCAAGCACAATTCCATTTAGCTTTCTAGGCCCAGGCATAATCAGCCAGATTTTTTTGTTGACATAGTAGTAAACATGCTTGAGTAGCATTCCACTTTGCAATGCTTCATTGCAGGATCTTGCAACTATTAATCTATTGATACAAAACATTTGATAAGGCCACTCCTCAGGATTGAAATAGAATAGGCTTTAAGTGAGTTTGTGGTACTGATAGAATTTAATAGCCTGACACTTTTTAACAGCACATCGAATATGATGAGAATTTCTGAGTCAAGACTAGCTATAGAACACATGTGCTTTTCTGTTCAAAGGCACAATCCCTAGGTTTGCATCTCTCACCTGTAGCTCTCAATTTTATATTTGTTCATTTAGTTTCTCTTTACATTTGTATTTTTATGTGGCTAGTTACTAAGAAAAGTATTAGGAAACTGATTTGAGGGGGTTCTGAAGGTCCCATGTTCCCCAAAGCAAAATGGTCGATTTGTTCCATGCCTTCACCTTGGCTTTCTTATCCCCTCAGCAAACTTTTTGTCTTTTTTTTTGTGGACAACTAGATAAATATCCAAAGAATATACTGGGCTGCTGTCACTCACCCTTTTTTACTTACTAGTTTACTTACTAGGTGAGCATATAGTTATTTAGTTATATTAGATTTATATTGTATTGCTTTGGGTTTGATTACTCAGTTTTGGAGTGTTATTTTTGGAAATCACTCAA